TTCCACCCCAGACTCAGGTGTACTAAACATCAACTGTATTAACTATTTCCAGCTGTTAGGTGTAGAGGATCCTCACTTACTGAACTGGAGACTGCATCCATTTCTTCAAACAGTTTGGATTAATGGGACATTACATGGAGTAGTTTTGCTTGTGGGACAGGAACCACATATCTCTCCTGCCTGCTGTTGATGAATGTTGTGCCCTCACTGCAGTAGGTGGGCAAGAGGGCAGGCAGTGATGGCGGGACACCCCACCCACAACGCTGCAGAAGAACACAACAAGAAAAGAACCTCAGGGTTGTGAGCTTGAGCTCCAGGTTGGGCAAATGATTCCTGCATTTCAGGGGGTTGGACTGGATGACCCTCATGGTCCCAACTCTACAGGTCTATGATCCTAAATATACTTTCTCTGAAGGGCATCCTGGTGACTTTATCAAGTTTACTTTCAAATAAGCATAGAACTGCAGCTGTATTTTAATTTGGCATTACGATTGAGTTACTATTTGTGTCTGGAAAGTACCTTTCCTTCAAATAACCACAGGGGTCAAGAAATCTGAGTGGCTGACTGCCCCCCTTTCACCCCACCTATTTGTTAAAATGCAATTCATTGCAGGGCTGAGGTTTTTGCTATTACAAATTGCTGACAGTTTATTTTGTGCCCCCCCATTGTGCAGTCTGTAACATGCTAGAACAAATGTTTTCAGTCTTGCCGTTCTGCCCCCATCAGACATGATAGCACTGTGTGCTTTCTTTCCTTTCCTTTTTCTTTGTGCTGTTTCTTCTGTATTATGCGCACAGCCAGTTGCAACACTTAACATTTAATGCTGCACCATAAAACTACTGATTAGCAGGAGATAAATGCTGCACTCTCATTTGACCTTTGGTTGTGTTGCTTTGTAAACAGAATGCACCTCAAATGCCTCAACTTACAAAAATTGATCCCCCCCTCCCAAAAAAATCAAACTGCTTTTAATCCTTTACGCCCAGGAAAATTCCATCTGATAGCAATCATTTCCTTCAGATTAGAGTTTTACAGTGGCCTTGTACAATTAAGGAGGGGGGGGTGCACCATGGCAAAAGAAATGTTGATCAGAGGAACAAGAGTGAAATTTGTATGACAATGTAACATTTTATAGTTGTTGTTTTTTTTAAATAGCCTTGACAGCATGGGAAAGAGGATATAATATTACTGAAATGTGGAAACTCTTACATCTCTGGTCTTTCATAATTGCATGCACATTTTGCTTATGAGCTCAGCAATGGCTGGGGCCCGTTTATCAAATGACAACATACTGGAGGGCTAAGGTCATCAGAAATGCTGTCAAGAAAAGGTAATAATGGGAGCTACTGGGCATTTTTCAAAATCTGGTGAAATGTGCCGCTTATTCAGAGTGATTGATAGCTGGATTGTTTGAGTGGGTGTTGTGCAGTTTGCTCTTTGTAGCGACTGCTTCGTACTGAGTCAGACCATTAGTCCATCGAGCTCAGTACTGCCTACACTAACTGCCAGCAGCTGTCCAAGATTTCAGACTAGCGTCTCTCCTAGCCCTATCTGGAGATTCCAGAATCTGACCTTGGACCATCTGCATGCCAGGAGGAGGGTCTTCTGCTGAGCTGCGGCCTTCCCCCTAAGGGAATTTTGTTACCAACATTATTTCTCTCAATTAACTCTCGCAGTTCCATCACAGGCTCCTCTCCTCTCTTGGTGAGCCCATGGGGCAAAGGCACCCCCAGCAGCAGTATGTGTGTATCATTGCAATTGTCCTGAAATCCTTCCTTATGTGATTGCAGAGCCTAATGCTTGGCTGTTGGGCATCACCTGTAAAGCCCTCTAGGTGACAAATTATGGGTCACTCTATTTGGCTTCCTTCCCACATTTCCCTTCATCTCGGAGCTCTGCCACCAGAGGATTCACATTCACATACAATTCAAGCTCTGCTTAAAACCACTGCCGCCTTTAATAAAGCGGTGATTACCAACAGACCAAGCACAGGAGACAGCTTCTTTTGGGTAGAGTCAGCTGAAGATGGGTATTGGTTTACAAGCTGTCTTTTTTCCAAGAGTGGGAAGAACATGGCTTCCAAATATATTTCCTTAACAGGACACAGCTCTGCTCCACTTTGAATTTCATTTGCTTAAGCCTTGCTTTGCATGAAGTACTTACTTTGCCAGCTGTAGTGTAACCTGTAACTGAAAAAAACAACAGGGCCATAGGGTTGGAGAGGCCATGTAGCCCAACTCCCTGCAGAAAACCCAGATTCAGAGCATCTACAAGAGAGAGCTGTCCAAGTTCTGCCTGAAAACCCCTTGAGGCATCTGGTTCCAAATGCTCCTATGGTCAAGACAGCTAATGTTCAACCAAAATCTACCCTCTTGTAATTTAACCCCATTCAATCTAATCCTGCAGTCTGGAGCACCAGATAAGAAGTCTTTGTCATCTTCCAGATAACAGTCCTTCAGGAATTTGAAGAGTGCTGTTTTCATTTCCTCCCTGAGTCTTTTCTTTCTCCAGGCTAAAGACACCTGGTTCCTTCTACCTTTCCTAACAGAATGTGCTTTCCACGCTGCTGGCCAACTCTGTTGTCTGTTCCAATTTGTCTATGTCAGGAGTGGAAAATCTTCCCACCTACCCCCCCCTCAAGGGCTGTCTTTGCTTGGAGGTACTGTGTTATGGACCACATGCTGGCAGACAGATTGCCCACACCTGATTTTGGTGGGGGTTTTTTGGAAAATTTATTTATTTGGTTTTTCAAATTAAAATTTCACAGAGATATATCAAACATAAATAATAAAAACAAGAGTCCAGTGAATCTCCTGGACTTCCATCCTCCCATTTGTGGGTCCTATTATTAATCGTTTCCTCATGAATCTTTTAAGATAATCCAAATCCTTTACATCTTCCATTATGTCCAGAATTCAACCTTAAACTACAAGTGATATTCCAATGCTACGAATGATTTTAACTGTTTACAATGGTATTTAAGATAAATTATAAATTTTCTCCATTCCTTATTATAATTTTGGCCTTCCTGATTTCTGACTCTTCTGGTCATTTTCACTATTTCAGCATAGTCCATTAACTTCATCTGCCATTCTTCTCTCGTAGGAACTGTGTTCTCACTCACTGTCTTATGGCTTATTGATTGACATTGATTGAGCATTGATTGAGTGACCTTCTCAGCGTGAACTCTGGCGCCCCCTCTGACCCACTAGGGCCAGCAACACTATCCTCTGCTACCTGTGGTAGCACCACCTCCCCTGTGGTGCTACCACAGAAACTTTACCTTCTTTCCATCTCTGGGCCAGTAACATCCGTGCAGCCATGGTCATGTACATAAATAGTATTTTCTGCTCCTTTAGGACTCCAGCACCTAGCCCACACCTGGCCCACACCTCCTGAAAATGCGGTGCTCAAACCTGCACACAGCACTCCAGATGCTGACTAGGGGAGCATCAAACCTCACCTGAAGTACAATGTCCAGTTCTGCATACTGTATTCATCCTCATTCATCCTCCATTCATCCTCATTCACTCCTGCCTCCACTCTCGCCTCCTGCTGAATTTTAGATTGTAAGCTCCTAGGGGCAGGGGCCTGTTCTCTTGCTATGTGTAAAGTCTTATGGACATTGATTGAGCTATATAATATGCTGTCATACAACAGTTATGACCAAGTGGAATTTCTATAAACAGGCTCCCAAGCAAACAGCGACACAAATGTGATAAATTCTCCTGTATCGCAAATAGAGCTTCCCTGTCAATAGTATTACTTTCCTTTCTTTCCTTTTCAATTGTCTTTTACATAGTTGGGGTGCAGGGCAGGTTAATGATGATGATTTTAAAAATCAAAATTAAATCAAATTGACCCGGGGAATTTTGCATGGCATGGTTAGCCTGCTAGTGTGGTGTAGTGGTTAGTGTGTCAGACTAGGACCTGGGAGCCCAGGTTTCATGTCCCCACTCAGCCATGAAACTCACTGGGTGAACTGGGCCACTCACTCACTTTCAGCCTAGCCTTCCTTGCAGGGTTGGTGGGACGATAAAACAGGGAGGAAGAGACCCATGGCACGTCACCTTGAGCTCTTTGGGGGATAGAAACCAAATAATAAACAAATAACTTGGGCTCCTTTAAGAAAACAACTAGGATGCTCAGCACAGCCGGCTCTCTTAGTACTGCAAAGCACAACAGTGTTATTGTTCCAGTGTGTGCGTCCCATCTCTGCATTCGGCTGCTGAAAGGAACGAGCCTTTCTGGTCTGTTCCTTGCGAGGAAGATGCTGTAGCCTCTCTTGGGAGAAGATGCAGGCTGAGAGCGGAAAGAGGGACAGACCTGACCCACCTCTTTCCCTTTCATGCCAGAGTGAAACAGTTCCAGATCCGCGGCCCCCCCGCACTTTGCTTTCACTTTCCCCACAATTCTGCCCCCCCCCCCCCGCCGAACAATCAATGCGGGGGCGTGGGTGGAATCGGTCTGCTGGAGAAATTCATATATATATATATATGTGCATTTCGTGTTTCTCCCTCTCACGCACAAAGTCCTGCGTACGTCTCCGTCCCCATAAAACTTATCCCGCGAAACAGAACAGGAGCGAGGCGTTATCCCCTGATAACTCAACCAATACAGCAACGCTGGCTTTTCATGGAAAGGTGATGGGGCGGAGGAGGGCGGGGTGTGTGTGGAGAGATCAAGGGGTCTCCGAAGGCTTTGGCATCAGGGTGTAATTATCGATGATTGATGGGCCACTGCCTCCGGGTTTCAGGTTAAATAAACAATTCGTGCAGTTGGTCAACTTCCCTGTAACTTTTTTTTTTGGTGTTAAAAGTCCCTCCTCCTCCTCCTCCCCTCCTCCTCCTCCTCCTGGTTTCCAAAATATCCCCCTTTTACAAGGCAGTGGAGGTGGCGGCAACAGCACACGCCGATTGCGCCTGCATTGGGGGGTAAGTCTTTTTTTGTGGAGCAGCTAAGCGACCAAAGGGGTGGGCGTGGGGAGAGACCAGTTTGTGCAATTGACGAGAGAGGGGGCGGCCAAGGTGGTGGGAGCCCCTGATGAGGGACAGATGGACCTTCAGCAGATCCGCGCAGGCTTTAGAGCAAAGATCAATTCCAGACCCAAAGTTATGTCTCCTGATCGCCCTGCTGTTCTCCATTCCTCCTCTCCGCCTCCTATCCAAGGCTGGAAACACACTCCCTGGCACTGTGTCTCAGAGCTCCTTTGCTCGGCTTCTCCCTGTAAAGTTATTGGTTTTATTTTTTTTCCAACCCAGGTGTAACGAACAGAATTGGAGCACCAAAAATCCTCATTGTGGCGCCTCGGGTGCGAAATTGGGCTCTCCTTTGTAACCCTTTAAAGAGGTGCCTAACGTAGCACGCTCTGAACTCGTGAGGCTCTGAGCCTCATAACTTGTAGCACCGTTAAAGCGATTGGCCCTCCCTGAAGTGATGGAAACCCCATTGGCACGTAGAAAGTCTGCTGCAGAGCGGCAGAATGTATGAAATTACACGAGCCAGGAAAAGATTGTTTCAGGGTTCTAAACCGGGGGAGGGGAGGATGTGCAGCAATATTCCCTGACGTTATTTAGGAAATACATGGACAAAAAAAAGGGCGGGGAGAAAGAAGGGAACAAAACAAAACAAGAGCACTTCAAAATGTTTCTGAGCTGTTGCTTTGCTGCAAACAATTCCCTGGGTGGAGACAGATTGGTGGATACGGCATTTGTAAATCGAGCGATGCTTCAGAGCTGGGGGCAGGGCAGGGTTGGGGGAAAATAAAGCTCCCTTCTTTGTTTCCAGCCTGATTAGAGGTTAGGGTGGAAAACTAAGGGGGAAAGGGGACTCACCCCTGAACTTGGAGGAAATGGCATGGCGACCAGTCAGCTGCAGGGTTCCTCATCCTTTAATGTACTGTGTGCTATCCATGTCACTTGTGAGTGGTCTCCAACACAGAAGTGACCCAGAGACCCTGGAGATGACATCTCTTTTCTTTACTTACTTACTTACTTTATATTCTGCTTTTCCTGCAAGGAGCTCAAGGTCAGGTGTGTTGAGATATGAATCTATAATCTTTTCCTACTATTCTTCTGAGCAGAGCAGGGAAGACAAGGGCAAAAGGTATGCTTGAGAATCCCACTTTGTGATATAATCCCTCCCATTTGTGATATAAGTGATAATGCCACTGGTCTACCTAACAGGGTTGTTGTAAGGATTACAATATCCAGGAAGCACCAGGTAATTCTATGTAGCAGTATTACACAGGAGCATGGGCCATTGTGAAGACAAAAAGATGATATTTTTTACCTTCCTCTAGCTACGTTACTCTTCCAGGAAGCTTCTCGTCTCTCCCTCACTGTCATAAAAAGTATTCTTTTAACCGGAACTTCTTCTGGTGAATATATCAGGGAAATCTGAGGAGAGAAAGCAAAGGATGCCAGTTTGATCTCAGTTGTTGACTTCCTGGCCAATTCTTACATTTTGGCCTTTGATATAGAGCTGGCTCTGCCTCAAAATAGGGTGGTGTTGTGATTGTTCAAGTGTGTGTGTTTTGCTATACACAGGTAGAATGGGACATCAGTATAGGCAGTGGTTCTCCAAACCATGCGCAAGAGACTAGTGCCCAGTTAACAGAAGGCCACTTCTAATACCACCAATATAGCTTGCTACTTCTCAGAAGTCCTTCCTGAAATAATACATCCCAAAAGACACCTTCTCTAGCATTTGGGGCTGAGGAATTCACCTGGGGGAATCCAACAGATGCTGAGAAAGTCCTGGGTCGGGATGAGTCACCCCTTAGGCATTAGGTTCTAAATGTGCACCACAGAGACAGATAGGAGCTGACAACAAACACAGCGACATCAAAGGCAGTCATTGAAAAATACAAACATGGTGTAGGTAGCACTCGTAATGCACTCTTGCATACACAAACACACATAATATTTAAAGAGAGGTACTATATGGTCTATTTAAAAGTTACAGTAGCCCCAAAGCCAAGATGAGTGAATATGAGTACCATAAAAAAGACAACAGATCATGGTGAGCCAGGTAAAATAACAGAAATACAGCTAGATACAAAGTGTGTGTGTGTATCAAGAGTTGGTTACACAGAAACTAGCATTGTACAGTACTGTATGTCACAAATCACTGATAATGTCCTCCTTGCTGAAAGCCTGTATTGGACCCACATTCCTGACCTTTACACAGCCTTTGATATAGTTAACTACTCTCTCCTCCTTGATTCCTTTTGGGTGTCTGTGACTCTGTCTTTATCTGGTTCTCCTCCTACCTGTCTAATCATTCTTTCAATGTCTCCACAGGTGAAAACTCTTTCTCTGCTTTCCCTCTCTGTTATTTTCTTCTCTCTCTGCACGCTGTCCCTGGATGACCTCATCAGATCCCAGAAACCCCTAAAACACTGATGACAACCAACCCTCTCCCCCTCTGAACCGCCCTCCTCACCCCACATCTTGAAGTGCCTCTCTGATCTTATTGCTGGAATACTCAATATGTCAAAGATCAAATGTCTGGTCTTTCATCTCAAGCCGCCTTCTTCATGTATTCTTGGCTTTTTCTTTGACAATGTTGCCATTCACCCTTAATATATCCTTTCCTTGTTGCTCTTCTGGCCCATGCTCTAGTTATCTCTCACCTAGACCTCTACAGTATTTTCCTTTCTAGTCCTCTGCAGGGTCAGCCTCATCTCCTCATACAGGCAAAATAAAACCCTTTCTTATCACTCTTATCATGTGATGCCCCTACACTGGCTTCTCATCTACTCTAAGACTAATGTGATTGCCTTCACGGCCCTCCATGGCTTCACCCCCTAATCTCCCTGCACATCCCAGCTGGTGATCTTCATTCCTCTGGTTAATGATGTTAGGTGTGCAAACATGATCATTCTGTGTCGTAGTGTTTCTGTCCCACCTCTGCTGTGAACATGGTACCCACCCACCCATATATATAGATCCCACATCGATTTAGGGGTATAAAAATGAATGAGCAAACTCAAAACCATTTCATGAGAGTGGACTTCTTTGAACTGTATCAGATACTCCAAAGTTAAGATTTTGCTGAGAAATCTACGAAGCTTTCCAACCTCTGCAAATTGGGCTGGCCTGGAACGCAATGGAGCTAGTAATTGCTGGTCCAGAGTTCCCCCAGGTATCTTTAATTTATTTTATTATAACCAAGTGTAATAAAAACCACTGCAATTCTCCTGGTGTGGTTCTTTTGTCTTTAGCTGATGCTAATTTTAGTTCCTGTGAACCAGAAATGTACTTTGTGCTCCTTCCTCTCCTAGGCTTTTCTTATGCCTGGTGAATGTGCAACAAACCAAGCATCAATATGTAGACATGGATCCTGAGAACATGCAGAATGAAGGGGGAAAGGTTGCAGCACAGCAGTAGAGAATGTGCTTTGTATGTAAAAGGCCCCAGGTTCATTCTGCGACATCCAGGTAGGGCTGGTATTGCCCCCCTCTGAAACCCTGAAGAGCCCTTACCAGTCAGGGTTGACAAAACTGAATGATACAGATAAATGCCAGTTCCTATGAAGAACTTCCCCTTCATTGTGAAGGGGTTCCCCCTTCCTTCCCATTACTACGGCTCCCTGTGTAGTATCTAGCAGAAGCATTGCAAGGGGTCTTCCCTAATGCTAGGAAGCCACAGGAGTGGAGAGAACTGCAGTAGTTGCATTTATTGATAAGCAACAGAACAGCAACTCAACATAGCAACCAGAACTTGCTAAACAGGAAAGACTAAGGTCCCAGCTGGTGGCACTGGATAAAAGCCTTAGTCATGGCTGGAGGTTGTATGCCTTACCTGCTCCTCCAAGGATTGGGGTATCCCATTAAAGGGATCCTGGAAGAGGTGTTTCTCTCTGGATGCCCAGGCAGTGGCTAGGGCCATAGCACTCCTCAAGACAATCTCTGTGGGGTTGCACCTCTTCGATGCATGTTATAGACTCCCTCAACATGTGTTCAATGACACTTGAGAGTACTGAGCTTCAGGTGGGTTGGTTGATAATGGTTGTACCCAATGCTTAAGCCTAAGCCACTCCCATCTGTAATCAATAAAGTTGTGGCCTAATTTGAACCAAATGAATGTCTGTAGTGTGGCTATTTTATTCTAAGTGCAGATGGAGGTGGTACATGGCTCCTGGGCATGCAATTGGTTCCCATTTGGCTATAGAGGGAACCGCAACCAGAGAGGGGAGAGGAGTTTCTGAATCTAAAGCACACACTCTACTAAGCTTTGGCTCTTTGCCGATTTAAAAGAAACAGAAGGAAAAATAATATTTTTGTTATTTTAATGCTAAAAAGAAATTAGTATGTTTGTGTGGTTGTGTGTAAGAGCGAGCGAGCGATGAAGAATGAAATGTGACCAGGAATCAAGAGCATTTTTATCTTTAAAAATTCATCTTATTTGAAGATGGAGATAACTGAAGCATCCCTAATGAAAGAAAGGCAGGCTATAAATATGCTTAATTAATTAACACTAGGCTATGGGCATATGTGTAGCTCCACTAATATCTTATCAGTATTGTAAACTACATTTCCCCAGCTAGACGGTACAAAGAACATTGTTAGTGAACATCATTTAGAGTTTCTGTGCTACCAGATGACTTGTGACACATCCGGAAGAGGATCTGTGCTCAGAACGAGAAAAGGGCAAGCGCTCTGCTATGTATGCAGGAACCTTTTGAGGGGTCCAAGTGAGTTTTTAATAAATAAACAAACTGTTGCCAGATATCTAATGTAAAATTGGTTCAAAATATTTTTATTTTATTTTCTTCCCTCTTTTCCTGATACTGATAATCTTCTGAATTGCCTGCCTGCTCAATTGCACAACACTAGATATTTAGCAGGGACGTGGGTGGCCTAGGACTTGCCGATCAGAAGGTCGGCGGTTTGAATCCCCGCGACGGGGTGAGCTCCCGTTGCTCGGTCCCTGCTCCTGCCAACCTAGCAGTTTGAAAGCACATCAAAGTGCAAGTAGATAAATAGGTACCGCTCTGGCGGGAAGGTAAACGGCGTTTCCGTGCGCTGATGTGGCTCACCAGAAGCGGCTTAGTCATGCTGGCCACATGACTTGGAAGCTGTACGCCAGCTCCCTCGGCCAATAAAGCAAGATGAGCGCCGCAACCCCAGAGTCAGCTACGACTGGACCTAATGGTCAGGGGTCCCTTTACCTTTACCTAGATAATTGCCTAGACTATATTGTGAGTGCGTTTATGTTTTTCAGGAGATGGTTGCTCAGTGAACTAATTTATATGAAAGTATAAAAATTTGAAAGAGACTATAGCCCTTTTCTTGATCTATTAGCCTTGTGCTGAGAGTGCTGGGAGGAAGAAATGTTTTTCTGAGTTGTATTTATCCATTGGTTACCTGTGTTGCATGCATCCTTTTGTGTTCTCTAACACGAAGCTGTTCCAATTTACAGTAATCTCCTGTTTTAGAGGGCTTGAACATTTCCTTTTTTTAAAAAATAATAATCTACTTGCTAATGATTGCTGTTCCTGGATTGAATCCAGAAGCACAGCGAAAATATAAACAGCCCTGATTCCATGCTGCTAGTGATGAAATGTGACTAGAAGAATTTAATTGATATTGGGAATAATTGTTCAAAAAAACACCCTACTTCTGAACAAACTTTGATTTTTATGAATGAAAGTAGGTATCGGAAGCTGTGCGGGTCCCATTAGTGGCAAGTAGCAGAAGGACATGTACTGAACTGTAACCTTGAGATGGATGGTTGAATGAGTTCTAGACACCAAGCGCATAGCCCAAAACTCCCAGCAGTAATACCAAGCAGAGAAAAAGAGCTGATATTTTCCTTTTGGCCGAGATGAGAATAATCTATCACGAGACGGGTGTCCCTGTAGTTTGATGACAAAGTGCACCAGTGCTGAGTTGCACAGGATTAAGTACTGTTGCTTTTGAGACATCTTGTACTGTGTGAGGCCCCAGGCAACTCTTTTGCTGATTACCTCCTGAACCTGTGGAGAACCGTTAACTCTTTCAGCCCTCTTTGATCACAATGGCCATAAAGTTTGAATGGTTATTAGACCCACACAGAGGTCATTCGAATCTACCCAATTACTTTAGAATCTTGGTTAAGCTTTAAGTTCGACCCAATGTACATAGGAACATAAATTAATAATAATAATAATTGTATTTTTATCTCAGTTTTGCCCAGGTGCTCAGAATACTTCACATAAGTTGAAGCAAGATGCCTTTTGATGCAATCATAATATAGGTCAGGATCAGTGTTATTTTTCTAGAAAAAGAGGTGTCAGAACTCACCATGAATGCCTCCCTTGTTCTCTTATAATGTGTTGTGAACTGGCAGGACAATGGGGAGGAGGAGGAAGAGGAAGAGGATCCCAGCAAGGGGTATAGCTGGGACTGGGACACACTGGGGCAAGCTGGGGAAGGTGATGTTGGTGCAGGAAGTGCTCACAGGAGGTCGGAGGATGTTGAGGGGGTGGGGGTCAGTGCACAGGAACCAGAGCAGCAGGACCCATCACCAGAGCTAGAGGGGTCCCTGTCCCCATGAACACGGTGAGTTCTGAGGCATAGGGAGCAGTCGGAGCAGCACTCTAGGAAGCTGATGCAGGCAAGGGCCCACAGCCCAGCTCCCTAGCTGGCCAGGTGGGGTTTGCTAGCTCTGGACAGAGGTGTGTGATTCCTCAGCTGGTGTAGCCTTGGGGCAGGTGAGGGTCCCATGCCTCATGGAGCCCAGATGCTGCAAGAGTATAAAAGGGCAGCAGAGCTGAGGGACTGTGGCTGCTTATCTGCCCATGTTTATGAGCTTCAACTCGGATGCTCCAGGATCTCTGCAGGACTGTGCTTTGGTTTGGACTTTGGACATGTAGATTGACCTTGAACTGGGGACTTGATATACTGACTTGCTGACAGGTAGGCCAGGGGTTCAGGACATAACGCCAATAGCACTCACCTATGAGGTGCCAGAACTGAGTTCTGGTGAGTTCCAGCTAAAAAAAAGCCCTGGTCAGGATTATCATTCCTGGTGAGAGAAGAAGAAGAAGAGTTTGGATTTGATATCCCGCTTTATCACTACCCGAAGGAGTCTCAAAGCAGCTAACATTCTCCTTTCCCTTCCTCCCCCACAACAAACACTCTGTGAGGTGAGTGGGGCTGAGAGACTTCAAAGAAGTGTGACTGGCCCAAGGTCACCCAGCAGCTGCATGTGGAGGAGCGGAGACACGAACCCAGTTCCCCAGATTACGTGACTACCGCTCTTAACCACTACACCACACTGGCTCTCTATGATATCAAGAGGGATGATATCAACATTACGTGGTCCACAACTCTGTTGATATTTGAACTTAAGGCTTGTAATAATTCATACCCTTAGCAGGGGTAGGGGAGCCTTAGGCCTGGCAACCAAATGTGCCTGGCTTTTGGAACCCTGCCCAGGTCATATCCCTCACTGGCCCCGCTGTGCACCATCCTCTAGTGCACTGTAACCTTGCTTGCCTGGATGGAAGATGGAGAGTAGTGTGTTTCTGGCCACACCTTTTGCTACACCCACAATTGGTAAGCGATCCCTGGAAGAAGGTTGATGCAGGAAGGTCCCCGTTCCCTGTTCTTAGCCATGTTCATCTTCCTCTTTTTTGGGAAGTGGGGAAAGCGGAGTGGCAAGAAGGGGCAGCAATTTTCCTGGAATTAACTGAAATCACAGCAAACTGCCTGTGAAACAGCTTCATACAAATGACTTGCCATGCAGGGTTGCGATGTTGTGTCATAAAGTATATAAATGAATCGGTGCTTGGTCATTCATATTGATTGCTGTAGCAGACCCTCTTTTCCAGGTACAGTTCCAGATTTACAGAAGCCATCCTGTTTTCTGATTTGATCCCAGTATGTCCCGCTTTTCCTTAGGATGTCTGTATTTTCATCGAAGAATTGTTGGAGGGTATGGAGTTATGCAGCCCCTGAGACAAGAATATAAGTAACTATATAACTTTTAGAAAACATCTGAAGGCAGCCCTGTATAGGGATGTTTTTAAATGTTTAATGGGTGGCATTTAAATAAAATTATTATTATTATTATTATTATATTGAATAGGAGTCCCTATTTCCATTAGAGAAATGTTGGAGGCTGTGCTGTAGTGCTTTTGGTTCAGGTTTAGGTGTCAGAGCAAGGTATTAATAGCTATATACATGAAAGTTGCACTCATGTGTTTAGGA